ACATGTAGTGGTAGAAAATACAGGGGAAGAACGTTGCTTGAGAAACAGCAATGGATTTGTTCATTGTGCTGGAAACGCGTGTGTGGGATCGACGACGTTCCTTGTACATCCTTCACTTTCCATGTCTTAACACAGTTTAATTCTTTTGACTTGGACTGCTGTTCTTTTATGTATTTCTTTGTTGGCTTTTAATAATTGTTCCCATCTGTTTTGAGTGCTATCAGTTAAGGGGAATGGGAGACCAAAACTCCCAGTGTGCTAATGGGAGCGTGAGCTCTATCTATCTGCTTCCTTTCTAGCTAAGGGAAATAACTCTCTCTCTTCTAATTAAAATCAGGAAAAAACCCTGCAAGTACTTTGAACAAGGGAAAGGAACTTGCCCCTTTGGAGGGAAGTGTCTTTACCTTCATGCTTATCCAGATGGGACACGAGCTGAACCTGAAAAACCACGGAAACAGCTCAGCTCTGAGGGGACTGTGCGGGTAAGGGACTACACCAGTCAAATGTAATTAAAAACATATTCTGAATGTAAAGTGTACGACTTGACTTAAATATGTTTCATACCATGCATGGCCTTGGAGAAGTGAAGAAAGCATCCCTCAGCTTGCCTTGAGCCACAGGTTTGTTATTAGGGAAAGGAGAAGGCACTTTTCCTTTAATAGCAAAAATTATTATCGGTTATTTTTTCAACCAGTCCTTCTCATGGCAAACCTTTCTTCAAAGGAATTCGGCTGTTAAAGTATTAAAAACTCATCTAACTTGCCTGCGTATAGCTGGCCGTAAGACCAGCTAAAAAGGGTAGCCTTCTGAAAAACGCGTTGTGGCTCGGCCACCACCCTGAGCGGTCACCACAGCCCTACTGCTTTAAGGTCACTACAGCTCGTTAGCGCCGGCTTGTTTGACCTCACTGTATTTCTACTGTAACACTAAGGAGAGTGGGTCGCTTTGAATTTAACAGCAAACGTTGCTGAGTTAGGAAATCCCAGCACAAACCTGGCTTTTGAGTCTCAACTTTTGACTTTTTTTTTTTAATAAATGAATAAGACTGATACGGGAAAATACTTTTTTGGAACTGTGACAAGTACTGGTTTGCGCTCAGACAGACTTTCTTCTCTTCCAGTTCTTCAACTCTGTTCGTCTGTGGGATTTCATTGAAGACAGAGAAAGTCGGACTGTGACCAGCACAGATGATGACGTAACAGAACTTGGAGAACTTTTCATGCACCTTTCTGGGGCTGATGAGGATCCTGCTACTTCTCAATAAAGAGAAGCGAAGGTGCTGTCTCCCACAGCAAGCTAGCTATTTGCTTAGCGATGCTTTTACTTTCTACAGCACAGTTAGAATGAATGTGCCCTGTGGTTTACTTGTGCAGTTCTGGTAACGTTTTTGGATAGTTTTTGTATGGCACCAAAAATCCTAAAATATATTTAAAAAGTTAAACTGATTGCATGGAAAACACCCCTGAATCCCAAGAGGGTTTTCACCCTCTTTGCCCTAACATACGCTGTCTTGTGAGCCGAGCGGTAGTGTAAATACAGCTCCTCTCTTACCATTTAAAGCTTAAGCTGTTAAAAATTGTTGCTAAATCTATTTTGGGTGCTTTTTTTTTTTTTTTTTCCCCCCTTCCCCAAATCAACTAAACGTATGTCCGCAAAAACCCACTGGGAATAATGGTCAGCGTAGCTTTTCCTTCCTTAAAAAGGAGATTTAAGAACTAAAACACTAAACCTCAAAGTAGAGTTCAGAATCAAGTTTCCTGTATTCTTAGAGCGAGCGTTGCAGTAGCAGGGCCGGGGCACTGCCTGGCTCTCGAAGACTGCACGAGTCAAATTCCTACCCATGTTTTAAAACAAATAAAGTGCATATTGGTAGGAAGTGTCCCCAAAGCACCCCTTGTCAGCAAATACAGTAATACAGGCAGAGCAATACTAAATTAGAGCACAAATTGGATTTTGGAAACTCTATAATGAGAGTAAGTAGTTACATTCAATAGCCGTTACTAGTTGAATTTTTCTTCAATTTAACTAGTTTGAATGTATTTAATGGGAAGGGAAACCTTGATTTGGTTAAATGAAGTAGCCAAAATTAAATGAAGTAACTAAATAATCTTCTGATCTCCTTATGTCAGTGATCTTTTAGTTTGCAATTCTACAACGTTAATTGTTTCTTTTGTAACTGAAGTTATTTAACTGCTGCTTTTTTTAACCATGTGGCTGAAACTTAGGCTTTTCTATCTGCACGTACCTCTAGCGTAGCGAGAGGTCCCTTTCTGAAGCGGTAGTACAGCCATAGAACGGCCCCGTTCCCGCGCAGCTCCCATCCCCGGCTGCAGCGGGCAGGTAGCGTTACCAACGGCACAGGCGGAAGCTCAGCCGCTGCCCGGTGAGCGACGCGTGCGGTGGCCGCGCTGCCCCCCCCCCCTGCCACTCCTGCCCCGTGTCCCGTACTGCCAGCCGGCCCCCTCGCAGCTCTTCGGGAGGGCGCTGGCTCCAGCCTTCAGGTTAAGGGCAGCAATGCTGAAGGCCCAGGAGGTGCGAGGTATTAAGGCGCAGCTCCTCTGAGGTAACCAAGTTTTGTTTTCCTTAAAAATTTAATTGATGCTTGTGTTGCAAAAGCAATTTGATGGTGAAATTTGATATAAGAAGTGAATTCTGTTAAGTCGTTTGTATTAACGTTGCAGTTAAACTCAAAATTCAGTGCGGACAGGACTGAAAAGGCAACTGAGCAACACAGCATTAACACACTCGAGTACAAGCAGAGTTTTCTCAAGGACACGGTCTTGAAATAAGCGGAGGGCCAATTTCAGCGATGGCTTGAGGATGAGACTGCATACCCTTGAAAAGTTGCTTGTCTGCTTAAAGATCGGAGCATTTCAGAAAACTTGATTGTTGCGAAATTATTTGTATTGTGAAGCAAAGTATATTTAAATACACTTGTGCAAAACCCCCTTATGTCAGCACGGCAACCAGGGCACTGCTTTGATGGTTAGAAACTCGGATGGGGGTCACTGTCATAAAGCAAACAGCAGGAACCTTGCTCGGGGAGTCAAACATTTTTAAATGGCAGCAAATTAGTGACTCCAGGCTGATCCGCTTCATCAGTTGGTTGGCATTTCTGGGTCAAAACTGAAGCTGAGAAACCTTCTGGATGGAAATACTGCATTTGTAATCAGGGTTCCAACAGAGGAGGGAGAACTCCCCCATCTCTGCTGGCTAAATTGAACATGCACATTTTGCTCTCTCTGACCTAGGAAATGTAACTTTTCCACAATTATTTCCACTCTAAAGTTAATTTTTAACAATGCTTCCCACGAAGTCAGGCCTTGGCTTGTCACGATCCCACTTACTTGTCAGCTTCTTTTTAAAACTGGCATATGAAGGCAGCAGTGAAGGTTTGCTCTAGTGAAGTCATCACTAATTAGACAGGTGAAGGAACATCAGGTATCACTAAGAGAAGTAGTACTGCAAGATGAATGTTCAAGAGCTCATACCCAGACATACTGTCTACCCCAAAATACTGACAGCCCTTCGCTTCCCTGCTGGAGCTTGTTTCTAGCTGGTCTTGCACTACTTTTTTTCCAGAGAGGAATATTTTCAGTAATAAAGTAGGCCCCCAAAAAGCCAATGGAGAGGGTGTTTAACTCAAACAAGACATTCCTGTTTTACTTTGCCTCAAGAAGACATAAACCAGGTAACGACAGTCTGAAATTGAAAAGATCGTTTGTTTTTCAAAGCTATCTAGGGACAACATAACAAAAAGTTTTAATATAAGAGTAGTACGATTTAGAAACTCTGACTTCTTAAATTCTTCACGTAGCAGCTTTCATCTACTTTGACATCAAATGCTGATCAAAGTAAGTCTATTTATCAAAAAAATTTATTTTTCAAGAGACATAACCTGTTTTTAAAATCAGGAGTTAATGGTTTCTTTTTGAAAATTGGAGCTAAAGTAAAAGCAGTTTACCATTTCTCCTTTTTTTTTTTCCCTTTTCTTCAACTCTTATTTTAAGGAAGGTAAGATGAAAGATAAAAGTTAAAATAGCAAGAATATTATTAAAAATCATGCAGAACTGTACGGAACAGTTTCCCTGAAGCCTCAATTTACTTTTTAGGAAGGAAATTTTATGGTCATGCTCAATTATCACCTAAGGATTAATAATCCACCCTTCTTATTATGTTATACAATTATTTTATAGATACTATAGGTATTATTTTTTAATTATGTGCCTGGCTTACGTACTTCAAGTTTCCTCTCTTCCCCTTCATGAGGGCTTTGTGGGTTTTTTGCTTGCTGCAACTAAGAAGCCAAAATGGCTACTTGGACATTACAGGCTGGTAGGAGTTGCACACGTAAGTTGTCAAAATACACAACAAAAGTATTTTGGCCTAACAAACTTCAGGCAGCAGTTGAGGCTGAGACAGCAGTGGTTACAGACATCTCCGGGCGCTCGCTGGACCTCGGCCGTGGATTCAGACAGGAGCCCCACACTTACTTGTGTAAACGGAGAAAGACGCAAAATGCCCGGCTTCCAGTCCCAGAATGGAAAGTTGGCTTCCCTTCTTTGCCTAATGAACATATTTCAACAGAAGGCTATTTAAAAAAGTAAGTTCTTAGATTAAACCAGGTATTTTTTGTCATCTGTGGAGTTCAGCCAAGACAAACCACTCGCTTTTACCCAAGTAAACAACAGGTTTGGAGAAGATGAAATGAGAGCAAAACCGATGCAGTCAAATAGCTTGATAGTACATCAGTGCAGGTATCTTAATAAGTAGATGCTGCTGAAGTATTACAGTAGACTAAAAAACATATTGTAAAGAATGTGATTGGAATCCTATAGGTCATCATATCAAGTGTGTTTTTACTTGAACTGCTGTTATCTACCCCACTAACTTTAAAATTATTCCGAGTGTCGTTTTCTGAGGTTTCTCAAATCTAGATGTACACGTCAGAACTATGGATTACTACATTAAATGATGACATTGAATCTTAAACCTAAAATTTAATTTATTTTATTAAAATAAGATAATCAGAGGAACCTTGGCTTACAATAAATGCATTTTCTCAGGAGCAATAAAAACAAAATTAAAACCCAAATCAGCAAGAAAAACTGTATATGCTCAGTTTCCTCTTGATAGTGCATCTCTTGGACGACAGCTTCAGATGGGACGAAGACTACGCTCATTTTGCAGAAGTATACGGATAATGTTAATTAGCCTCTTCTCAGCCACAAAAGCCTGTCTTTCCGCACTTACCACCTCATTGGGCTGCAAGAAACAAGTCAATAGTACCAAAGTAAGCTGCTGAAGTTACTGAAGATGACCGTAGCAAGACTGGCTAGCTTCCTTCTCTGAGCAGTACAGTTCAGAATATATTCCATTCTTTTGCAAGAGTTTTTCTTCTATGTGCAAAACTATTGCAAAACTATTTTGTGTTGAATTAGCATTTTAACTTATTTCATTGGCTTGATGAAAGCTCTTAGGCAGGAGCTGATTTCCACAAAGTTTTCTCCTCTTCCCTCAGTCTTGTTTGCAGATTCCCATTTCGGGCAAAACTCCCCCCAACCTGGAAGTGGCAGAGGGCGTGGGGCAATCAGAGCACCGTAACGCATCATCTTTCTGGAAAGGCCGAGGCAAGCCGTCCTTGCTGTAAAAAATACCGATTTATCAACAGATTCAAATCAATCCAGAAACACTGCCAAAGAAACATCCATCGCTTCTGTGTATGGGAAAAATAAGGCTCAAGTGCATCTATTAAAAAAATAGTAATAGATCTCTTGATTTATCGTCTGTTAACTATCCCAGTAAAAGAAACTGTAGAAAAAGGCAATGTGGAGCTGTGTCCCTGCAGGGGAAGAACTGCAGAAATCCTTAGCAGCTTGTTCTTAAAACTGGGACGCAGGTAGTCCTGCTGGCACTGATCCTGTACACTGAGGCATTAAAAGCACAACTGCTGTTACTGCTCTTCCTTTCCCATCTCCGGAGAGAGCCAGGGAGGGGGAGCACGATCCTAAAACACGGGCAGTCTCGTGGATGTTAATGTGCATGAATTTATGTCCTCTGTGTGGGCGGCACGATGCAGAGATGGTTCAGAAGCACTCCGGTTGATTTTGGGTAAAGAATGTTGCAACAACTCAATGGATGACAGTATCTGAGAGAAACACAGATAAAATGAAAAGGCGCCTCATTAGAAAGAGCTGCTTGTCTGCTCAAGTCTTAAACCTTCATTTCTTATGGCTTTAAGTATATCCTTAAGAGCAACAATATACTACGTGGAGACACTGCAAACCACACTCTTGGAACATGCCGTACAGTTTCGTTGCTACGTGGAGTCTGGGTTTCAGAGGATGGGAGGGTACTCTTCATTAGTTCACAGACGTTACCATCAGTGAACAAGCATCTCTGCCATTCCCCAACAGAGTAATATGGAAAGAACTGCATCTGCCTAACATTCTGTTCAGAAAACAACATTTAGAAAGAACTTTTTAAGCGAGAGTTATACTTGATTGTAACAGCAAGAAGTTATTTTTCCAAAACCTGCTGATATTAAATTCCAGCTATTTAATAACAAAGTACCTTCATCATCCTCATAGTGACAGGAAAAGGGAAAGTATCTCTTGTAAAAATACCAAAGATTGCTACATGAATTTAAATCCCCCAGTGGGTTTTTTTGTTTTGCTTGTTCATGGCTGTGAGGAAGGAAAGGAGGAGTGGTCTCATTTTCCTCAAACCTACACTAAAATACTACTAAATACAAAGATAGATTTGATTTTTATTGGGTCAGGGCTTGGGGTTTTTTCGCTTACCTCTAAAAGGGGTCAGCTGCTGAAAAGCAAATTGCTGCAGTGTTAGTCTAACACTGCTTCAGTCTGCAGGCATAATGGTTTTTAATGACCTTTACAGGAATTACGTACAATCAGAATTACAAACTGCCTAATGGAGATGGGTTATGAAAGACACACATATGAATAAAGACAAAAATTAGGAAGCAGCCTGCTTCCTTTCTTCCTACATCTACCTGCAGTTTCTCAACCAAAGCTAGTTGTGTTAATGACCATTTAAAAAATACTCTGAAACCGTTACATGCAGAAAACACACTTACTTGTGGAAACAGAGGTCGTTCTTCCCTAACTTTCTTCAAACAATCTGCTACAAGCCTCTTCATTGCTTTGGGGCAGTTCTTGTACAATTTACTGAGGTCTGGAGAAGCATAACCTCGGCCAACCATGAAAATGATCTGAAAAAGACGCAGCAAGTAGCAGAAACCCACAGCTGTGAAAGCTGTTTCAGTGGTTGATAGCTTTAGTGTCCCACCACAACTAAACATGAGTACCAAAGGCACACACACCAGCAGATACTTGTAGATTTATCCCAATTAGTTAACTGAAACAATGGTCAATGTAGGACCTGACTGACTCAGAGCGACACCGTGGTCTGTAATGCTCAACAAGCGAAGCACTACTGCATTCGGAATAGAACAGGAGATACTACGTGACACGGACAATTTCCTCCATTTGAAGGCTACAATGAGAAATGCTGCTCAGTTTGAGCCGTTATAGGCAGCCGGTCAATTTGGCACAACAGCTTAATCTGTCAGGAGAACTGGATTTTCGGGTGTATCTGTGAAACACTGCAAAAGGAGATGTACAGCTAGCGAGCTGGAAGAGATTGTAACTACTGCAGCAAAAAAGGAAATGGGGTTTGTTTTGTTTGGAGACAATAAAAGACGTAATTAAGTGTTGGAAAATACATTTTCTGATTTACTCCAAGTTAATATGGTCATTGTTTAGGATTTTCATCCAGACTTCCAGTAACCTTTATAGTTGAGTATGTAATAACTGGGAAGAGTATTACCTGGTAAAGTGGTGGTAGGCTTGGTTGCTTGAGGGGACTTTGTTTGAAGGTTCTATGAGGGGGAGCGTACAGAACCAACTGCGCTATTTTCTTTTTACACTAATATTGTCTCAGAAAAAAAAAAAAGGTAAATATAATGCTGCTAAAATAAGGTCTTAGTGTTGTTTGCCAGGAAATACTCTATCCCTTCCTGGAAAACTTCCTTGGGGGGGCAAGTGTGGCATGTTTTGTGACAGTAATGATTATTAAAGCTTGCATAGAATTCCAATATCATGAATTAAAACATACTCCAATATCCAAATTTGTAGACAACCTTAAAAAGTAAGAAAAACTTCCTAAATAGAACTGGCCTCTTCTACTTGGAATACAGACTACTTAACAGGGGCTAAAATTGAATAGTTCATCCCATACACGTACACTCCTCGTCGTTAGATCTTAATTTAAAAAAAAAAAAAACAAAAAACCCAACAACCAACAAGAAACACAACCCACAACTAAGGATCAGCAAACCAGAGGTCAGAGAGGTCTAGCAGTCTTAAGTTCGTGCCCTGCAGAATGAGAATGAGTTAGCTCCACACCTGCTACGCCAGAAAAAGCAGCTGAGGTTTCCGGCCTTCGTGTGCTTTATAACTATTGGTTAACTGACTAGGTAAGATTACACCTTAGTAAAGACTAAACCCCACAAACTAACATTCAGTACTAAAAGGTTTGACAATAGTTGCGCTTTTTTCTCCCCACTTAGTAAAAAGCACAGAATCCACACTTGCTGATGTAGAACAGCACATTTAACATCAAAAAGGAAATTTCACATAACCAAACTGCAAAGATATAACAACCCAAGATTTTACTGATGTGGCAAAAGCTTTAACCCATGAAAAAATTAACAGGGCACTTAAAATGTTTATGAAAAAGGAATTCTTTTTCGTTTGAGTAACTGTCACTATTTAAGTAAACCTTCAATTACACAGGTTAACTGCTGAAACAAATCATGTCGCAAACAACATTTCGATTCTTGTTTTGCTCTTGTCTTTATATTACATTTCTTGAGGACCACAAAAAATGTACTATGCCCAGAAATGAAGTGCAGTGTTCTAAAGAATGTTCCGTACCTGATCTCGGTTGTTTATGTGGGAGTATGGCAGCTCTCCTGTCATTAGTTCATATAGTACTATTCCATAGGAGTAGACATCTGACTGAAAACTAAACGGGTTACTATCCTGCATCCGTATCACTTCTGGTGCCTGGAGGAGGAGGAAAAAAGAAACAAGTGATGAGCAATATTAACAGAACTTCGAAACAGAAAGGACAAGAAAAGGGGAAAATGTTTGGAAAGCAGAGAGTGTGAGCTCAACCAAAAATTAGTGAACAATGGACACCTCAAAACTTTTGGTTATTTTTCCCTAAGGCTCTGGAAAAAGCTCAGGCAGTGCTACTCTGCATTGTATGGAAAAAAAAAAATAAAAAAAATCAATACAATTGCAAGTAAACAAAAAAGCAATGCTTTAACTCAACAAGCATTTTACCAATTTGCAATATATATTGATTTTTGTCACATCTTACATACAACTGAGTCTCTCACCATCAGTTCTTAAACAGGAAGGGGGAAAATATAAAGTTCTAATATAGACTCACTCTCTTGTAAAATTGATACCAAAACATTTACATGAAATGCAAAGGCCAAATACAAAATAGCATGTATTGAAGATGGGGGAAGAAAGGCAAAAGCATTCTTGAATCTTTGCAAAACAAAGCAAAATTATGAAGTTAAAGAACTTAGAAGAAACAATGTTGAATGATTTAATAAAACAAGATATAAACCATCAAAATATCTGTCCTGTTGATTGAGATTTTTTTTTCCTCTACAAGTCCCTCAGAATCACTGAGCAAAGTACTAGTTAAAGTACAATAAAAACTCAGTAAGAGATTATATCAACTTTCAAGGAAACAGAATCAGCCTCCCCTTCTACGTAATGACAACTCAGCAAAGATGGTCTATAAATGATTAAAATGGAAAAAACTGCAAAGAGCAAAAATGCAGGGTTTTTTCTAAGATCCGTTTCCCATATGTAAGCATACTATTAGCTAAGTTAGTTTTAAAATCCTTTGAAGAAAGCTGTAAAAAGCTTTGACTTCTTCTTTGTCTTTTTTTTTTTTAAGAAAAAACTGTTTCTGGTTTTGTAACTTTGTTTCAGGTGATGTGTGTATTTTATAAGTCACAAACAAATGTTGGCCAAACGTCCCGATAATCTGAATGAACACTTCCTGAATTGTCTCAAAATACAAATGCTTAAGTAAGAATGAAGGCGGCAAGCCCAGCAATAAAGAATAAGTTTTTAAATGGAAAACCTGTTTCAAGCAACACCTGCAGCTCATTCAGTGCTAAATATCCAAAGATTTAAAATGTACTAAGATGTGGCATTCAGCAAGTAATTTTTATTTGGTTACGCTTCCCCAAAGTACACCCCACAAGTGCTGCTACGTGCCCTGCCCTGGGAGCTAGAAAAATATTGCTCAGTCTACATGCTAAATTTCGGTAAACTGCACAGTATTAACAAAAATGGCGCAAGTGAAACTTCAGCAAAATATTCTATTTAATATGAGTGCTAAATAAGACATTCTTGCATAATTTTAATGATGCTTTTTAACCTGGTAACAGGCACTGTTCCACTTTTTCTAGTTATTCTGTTGAATTCACACATTTGAAAAGTTACTAAATAGGTTTTCTCCTGATGATTTTTGGAAGGAAAATTGTGGAACTGCCTTTTAAGTTCTGCCAGAAGTTAAACCATAAAGGCAATTGTTGGGATCATCCTCTCAGACGATGACTTTCAGTAACACTTCCTAAAGAAACTCCGTAAACATTCCAGGAGAACTCGAGAACTTCAGTGCGTAACCTGACATCCCCCTGCTAGGTTCTGGGCTGCCTCCAAACCCGCAGCAACGACCTGGTGCAGGACAAGGAGCAGCAGCGCACCCAACAGCGGTACCTTGCTCTGTAGCAAACCTCTTACCGCAGCACCAAAGATGAGTCGCGCTCCTGTCCACGCTTCAAGAAGCGCTCCCTGTCCTTTCCCAGTCACCTGCCGAAGCTGCCGCATGTGCCAGCAGCAGGTGTGTGTGAGAAGGGATGTTGCCAAGTGCCGAGCAGGGGGAGAAGAGGCCACGATGAAGAACGGAGGGAGAGACAGCGTCTCAGCGACCCCGCAAAGCCACCGTTAAGCAGATTAAAGCCTGCTCTCCAGTGAGACAAGCCCGTTAGGGGAAAGGCTCTCCTCTTCCCTCAGAACAGCTCCTTGCAATTCCACCGACAGCCCTGTCTCTCTCCTAAATATTGAAAATAACTTCAAAAATCAAAAGGGGAATCCTTAGGTGAACAGTGTCTACTTCGGACAATTAAGCACTCCAGAACTCCGTTCTTCAATTTTAACTTGTCCTACAACAGGAATAAAAGTCTACACAGTACTAAAAGCATACGTTGACTCATTTCGGTTTAACGCTTTAAGACAGCGTTCGACTAACAGACCATCCATGGCCGGAATGAAAGCCAGCGATTTAAAAGCAGCGCAACGTTTTGCTCACCATCCACAAGATTGAGCCAGTGGGCTGTTCCACCTGTTGAGATCCACTCCACCTGGATTTTACAGTTGCCAGACCAAAGTCTCCTATTTTCACGGTGAGGCCTTCATGAAGAAATATATCTAAACATCTGTTAAAGAAATTCTACAGAAAATTTCAGGAAACAATTGTAAACTTTGACATGATTGCAAAGTGTCTGATTGGGTCATCACACACGTGAGCCAACTATCCAAGAATATTGCTGACTTTTTTTTAAACCTGTTAAGAGTTGTATCTTAAACAGAGGAAAAGTAATTTTACAGCATCCATATTTATGGAGTTAACATTTAAGACTAAACAAGACCAGGTGTTTCAGTGTTATTTGTACATCTGTCTTTATGGTGAGTTAGGACAGAAATCAACTGTGTTAATTAACGTCGATGACTGCAGGTAATTCAGTAACTGGTGTCAAGAGACACACAGGGAAACAACATAGAAGTCATCACAACTCAAAAAAGAAAACTAAGAAAAAACAATTACAAGTATAAACAAGTATCAAAATATTTGTTGATAACAAATATCAAAGTAAAATCTATTTACATAAAGCTCTCTGGCAGATCTCCTGAGATTTAACTATGATTTAATGATTTTAACTGTACTATTTGTGATCTATCTACTTAAAATGTTTGTCTGTTCAGATTGATAACTAGCACTTATTGTTGGCTTTATTTTAAGAAGATATCATTTTACAATTTCACTTAAGAATGTTTTAAGTTCAAAAAGACGATTCAGCGATATAAACATGACAGACTCCTAGTTCTCATTTCCATGTCATGAGAAGAGTTAGTTTAGTTCACAAAAATGGTTATCATTACCAGGAATCTTAAACTTCTGACCTCCTATGTAGTAAAGCTTTACCAGCTTAGCTGAAAATGGGAATCTCCTTACATTATGGAACTACTGAATTTGGCATATTTTTTACGATGACATTTGCAAAACACTCTGTTCACATTTTATGAAAGGCAGTTACAATTTATGCTGCTTAATGGATGCTCTTCTTGGCAATTTGGAAGGCAGGCATTTTCAAAGGTGAAAGACATCAATTCATGACATTTGTACTCCATATTGATTACTAAATTTATATTTTTGCAAGAAATATAGTGGTAAAAGGTTGCCTTCTCTTGAGTTTAAAGTAAGATTTTTGGCTTTGTTTCTGCCAGTCATGTGAAGGTGTTTTAAATTTATTACGAATAGATGGGAAACCATAAAAAGCCCACACGTGCACACACACACACATCTCCCATCAAATAAGGAGTGCAGCTTCTCTCCAGTACAGCACGTGGGTAACAGAGGATTGCATAAACACCATTTAAGTAAGAGAAGATGCTTTTGGAGCACAGTTGTTGCCCATCTTTTTCCATCTTTATCACCAGAGTTCGGTAAGCAAGCACGCAACCTTCTACGAAAGTCCTTGCTAAAAAGTAACTTCTTACTCATCAACAGGAACTACTCATTAGTTATACACATTTGAAACAGCTATTTCAACCCCCCAGAGCTCCATACTGACAACAAATCACTCTCACATGAAAGGAAATATGATTCAGTTGGGAAAGGATACTATTGGATTTCATGTCTCTGTGGATGATATTCTTTGCATGTAAATAGCTGTGAAAGAAAAAGCAGGAAAGTGCCGTTATGAAGGCTGTCCGCATCAACTCAGCCTTTCCGTTTACTGGTAGACACTGTTAGTTTATTACACACTCAACCATTTCACAGAGCTCTTGCTTTAGTCCATTTACAGGATGCTCTACTTAAGGAAAAGAAAAACGTAGCAAGCGCTAGCTGAGACTACTGCCTTATGCGCTACAGAAAGCGGAAGCAACGCAGTAAATACATCTCAGGCATCGCTAAGGTCATAAATCTCTGACATCGTTATGATGTAACTGTATAAATGCCCTAGAAAACCGGGTGCCCTCCTCACCTACATGAAATTTGTATGCTGTGCTAAGGTTTACCATTTACTAACTGCTTTACTTCGCGGTCACAATGTGTGTTCCCAGTTTTATGGGTGTCCGACTGGAAACGTGGGTCCTGATCTACAGAACGGATGAGCACTGACAACGCCAGCCAATGTCAGCATCTGCTACGTTATGAACATTATAACATGTTCTGAAAGAGAAGTGAGGTGGTACTGTATCAGCTCAGACATCTGGAGAATGCTTCCAAAATCTATCTCCGTGTGAGTCCTGTAGCTGTAGAATAGGAACAGCCATCCCCTTGTGCCACAGAAGTCCCATGAGTATAAATTAGTGTTTGCCAAACACTGCAGTGTTAAAGCAAGTAACGCAGGGAAGGAGAAAAAAAAAGTTAATTCTACGTTTACAGTAGGATCTCATCTCGTGCATTACAGGAAGACCTCAAGCTACAAAAGAAGATAAAACACAGAAAAGCTGACTGTTAAGTGCCTAGTGGTCTAACATGAACTGAGGCAAGAATCCACGGTAAAAGAAATCCTAAATGAAAGGAAGAATGCATACAACAGTGCTGAACTAAGGCTGCACAAAATCTTTCCTTGCTATACCATTTGGACCTCTTTCTATTTTAGCACAGTAACTCCGCATATCAGGGTTTGGGGAAGAGAAGGGAAACACCATTCCAAGAGGGAAAATAGTCAACACCGTTTATCCTACTCACTCCATTCCCTGTGCCGTCTGCCGAGCGATATCAATGAGCTGGAACATTTGGAACTTGGTCTCTTGAACGTGCAGGTGTTTATACAGACTGCTGCCTTCACACCACTGTGTAACAATGGCCAGATTATCTTTAGTCATGTAGCCCATGAAGAGCAAAATATTAACATGCCGAGTCTTCCTAATAGAAAGTAGCAGAGAAAGAAATTAGGATCTTTAACAAAAATGTTCTCAAGTTCTTTTAAAAAGCTCATTCCTGGCTGAAGGAACATATTTCAGCTTTTGAATCCAAAAGCATGAGTTCCCCGCAAAATTTTTGCTAAGTGGATGTGTGTGGAAGGTTTGGTTTTAAAAATAATAAAAATATGCCACAGTTGCCAATTTTTAAATAAAATCAGCTGGTTTTCAGCTTTTTAGTCAAAATACTTAGTTTTAGTTCCAAGGAAGTTATTTAAAAATCACCCTTTAAGAAAAGATGTCATGAAAATTCAAGGGTTTTGAAATTGGTAACCAATATTCACACTCTCAAATAGTATTAGAAAAATGGAATAACAGAAATCACGCTGACAGCTGCAAAAAGCTAACATTAGAGAGAAGCCTGAATCCCAATAGGAAACTGTGAAGCAATGAACAGATAAGAGGACAGTTCTTCGAGTACTCTAACTATTTCAGTTTCAGGATTAACATTACAGGTAGTTAGTTGGACACTACAAAAACATTATTTCAACACAGAAAACGGTTATGCAGATCAGAGCATACTTTTGTTTATTAAAGAAAAGGAAATATGCTGCAATTTTGAAAGGTACGGTTCAAGTATTCTGTCCCGTGATGAGAATTATGTGAGAATGTATTAATCCTCACCTTTTACTGCATGCCAAATGTGACCTGAACAATTATGGATGTTAGTATTATTTATTTGAAAAGACAACTTTCAGAAATAGTGAAGAACCACTGAAATACTCTGAATTATGACTGCCGTCTCCCAGCTCCACAACACCATTCAGAAGTACCACTATACACTCTCTTTTTCTTCTTCTCTGGAGATCTGCTTTTGTGTCTATAAAACATTGAATATTGGGCAAGACGGCTTAAAGGAGGAGTTGCAGTCACATACAGTGCCTTGGAATAACAGAACTGAGCAATGAAACTACCAACTCACCTTAATACAGCCACTTCATTTCTAAAAGCCTGGAACTGTTCTGGGGTTGGATCTACAACCTTTAGTATCTTCACTGCTACATCCCCTGAAAATACATTTACCATAAGTGTTACTAAAAAGGCAGCTTTTTTTTTTTTCTTCCAAAATAACATTAATATACAGTATACTTAAAATTCCTAATTTGTGCACAGTACACCTCTACTAATTTGCACACAGGTGAAGATTTTCCTGCGGACATATAAACTTCTGCAGTGTCAAGCAACTCATTTACCAGAACTTCAGTCTAATGAAAAAAGTCATTAATTGTTCACATGCTTCCCTTCTATTTTGTGACAGCTATGGCTGGCTAGAGCTACATTTACGCTTTTTGAAGGATATGAAGCTACTAAAAATCTCAAGTCGTCATTGAAAGGGAAGGTCTTCTAGTGTAGCTGCATTCTCAGCACGTTATTTCAAGCACAGTCACATCAGAGTCTCTTGGCTTCCAAACCGTAGCCAAAGTTTCATCGCTTGCCCTTTTCTATCCAGCTTTAGCACACATATATATATACATCTTTGTATTTTCTATAATTAAGTTTACGTATTAATTTTTTTATACATATTAAAAACCTATATATATATGTATATACACACACATCCTTTTTTAATATAAACTTTATTTAAAAAACAATTTTTCTAGGTTTAAATACTGCTAAATTTCAAGAATGGGAGGGATAAATCTGTCCAGGAATAGCAGATTCTGTTCTTTAAGCTGATGTGTTATAAAATTTTACTTAAAAGCTTCATTTGAATTGCTTTCAGTGTCCGTGCTTGCTTTAAATTTCAGTACCTGTTAAAGGATAGTAAGAGAGGAATACATGATGATCCAGTGCTATCTGTTTAGAGACTGTTTCCAGAGAATGAAGTTGTAAAAGCACTAAACAGCAAGACCCGCCGATTCCTCAGTGAAAGAAATTAAGCATCACGGTCGTTTTAACTACAGATGGACAGCATTTTAGAATTCAAGAGAAGGATAAACTTGCCTTGACACTGTCACAGGAAGGTAAAAGCAGCTTAGGAAAACCGAAACTTCAATCTTAGTCCACATGCAGGAAAAAGATTTGAGGTGCTATACTCCAACACGGGCTTATCCCGTAGTCTAAAGGTTGCTGCCACTTAGCATTAGAGAATCACTGCCTACAGTAAGAAAAAATCCCAAGTGACAGTTTTCTCTGCTACCGCAATCACTGATTATTTTCTCCTTAATATGGTCCCTTTTCCAAGATATATGTGAAATGTACATTAGCATGTCTCTGGAATATAACGATTAATTGAATACATCAGGAATACTAACTGCTCAATTAACAAAAAATGTTGCCAGCAAAGCATGGGAAGGATACGCAACTGGTACTTGAAAGTGTCAGAGTACCCTGAGTGAGCTGCAGTATCTCCCACTGGAGTTACTTAATTGTTGCTTAATATGCCGTATAATTTGAAGCCACAAAGACGCACAAATATTGAACACATTATTATACATTTATATCTTCTCCCTTTAATTTCAGTAAATGCAATATACTTCGTATTTCATCTTCTAGCATCTTCATAAAGAGAACCATCTTGCATTCCCAGTATACATAATGTTCTATAACTTAAGAGAACTCTCTGCTCGCAGACCAAAACAGGAGAACGTAACTGGTACAAAGACTACGACTACCAAACCCACAGGCTTTGAAGCAGCCAGTTTCTGCTGCAACTCCTGTTGATGTACAATGCGAGACCAACAGATGGTCTACCAATACTTGACGTATATCGCTATGAGCTATGCCAAGACAAGGCAAGGATGCAGCATCCACCCATTACAGATTTTTTTTCAAGATATTCTCCATTATGATCCTTGCTTCACAGATGAAAAGATGGTTTTGACCTTACACTGTTCTTACTGAATCAGGTGCCACACTTTTTTTTAGGCTTGATGGCATTTCCAGAGCAGTTTTCTCTACAGAAACAAATACACAATAGCACTTGTTTTGTTTAGCAGCAAACTGAAGACAAATCAGCTTCCGCCACCCCCCAACCACCAAAACCCTAGAACTGATTACCAGGGTCAAAGGGGAAATGTGAGTGTTTATGATAGGTAGTCTTCCAACCAATTTAAACTGCCTTGGTTCTCTTTCCGCCTTTTAAATTTAGAAGCATGCTACAGGACACTACGGGATCCAAATGGGGTCTGTAACAGAAGCGGTGCAAATATGAAAATTAGTACTTAACCATCAGAACAATCTGGAAAAATATGGAAGTGCACGATACCTGTTCAATGAGGCACGCACTCCGCAGAACAAGACTGTCCTTGACACTTCATGTTTATTCGGGAAGACTAAATCAGGGAGGCTTATTGGAAACCTACTACGGTTTGCACACAGTTGTGCACAGTCTTCCACAGGTGCTCTACAAAGGTTCACTGCAAACAGCCCTTCATAGCTGGGCACGCTTGGAAACCCAACACCTCCTACTTCATCTGCAATTTCTGCTTAAGTTTTGCAATTTTCAGTAATTTAACTTTGACCTTCCCGAGAAATCAGGAGAACTATACATCATTACCACAAAGAAGATACTGAATCTTACTGGTATCGAGTTAGGTGACAGCTATACAGCCGCCTTGTGCACACAACTGAAGGTTCTTTGTAAACATGTAGCTCAGTGCAATTCCTGTCCAACATAGGAAGAACCAGATTTCTTGATACAAGGAGAGTATTTATTAACATGAAATTCAAGCATATTAACAAGAAATTCACATTTATTACCTTGTTAGTGAAATCTTACTTAATCCGTTTTCCCTCTTCACTTCTGTGTTCCATTTCACTTACATAATGAAAATCAGTTTAACTGTTCATGACTATTACTTTTAGCATGAGAATAGGCCTTCCACCGATGTTGACAATATTTGGGCATTAAGACATGCAAGTATTTATTCTTCAAAAACAGAGGGTGGAAAACAAGTTTCCAGATTTTTATTTTTTTTTCTCAGCTTATTTTATAACAATAACGCTGTTTAAATTAGGGCCTGGAGGGGTTTTTGTGTGTGCTTCACAAGCCCTGAATTTGGAAACTAATGCTGTAGTTCTGCGGTGTGCCTCTTTTCAAAGTGTTCCAGCTAACTTTATATCATAAGCTCTCACATCAACCATTTTTTCCTTAGAAAAACTCCACAGTAAAAGCAATTTGTGCTTATTTCCTTTCCCTGCCACCTTGAATATAAGTATGCTAATTAAACCACAGAGGTATTACAAAAAAAGGTCAATATAATTTAACATCAGGCTGTGACATTTCCCTGCTAATTCAATCCTGCTACTGGAAAGGGAAATGTTTTCAGAAAACAAGCTGTTCTAGAACATAGTAACAAAGAAAGCAATGTTGGTTCCAATATAATGAACACGTAGGTGGCAGTTGCAAGGTTTGGATTTTGATGCCTGTTCTTTGCCTTACTTTGCCCACTGCTAATATTAGGAAATTAATATTTCTTACCTAGTACCTTTGGTGACAGATAAGCACACAGCACCGTTAAAATGATTTTACCTTTTTCTGGATTGCTCTCCTACAGCATCAACATTTTGAGAAGACAGTAACACTTATCAAGAACTTACCATGCCATTTGCCTTTGTAAACCGTTCCAAAAGAACCTGACCCTATTCTGGTAGAAAGCATGACTTCACTCGCTTCTATTTCCCAGTAATAACTGGAATCTCTCTGTCCACGAGGCCTCTGGAACAAAAATTGACATGGCTTTACTCTAAGTATTTAATCAAATATATTATATATATACACACCAAGAATGAAATAACTTCCTTCATCCAAGTTTAAGATGCAGTGAAACTTTGAGGGTTTTGTCCTGCAGTTTTGACTTTTGTTTTTCTCCTCAATTTGTGAGGGGTGGTGGGTTGTTGTTTGGCTTTTTTTACAAGAAAAAAAAAAGAACAAAACATTTTTTTGGATGGCTTTAACTGCTGAAAAAGCTACCATTAAGTTCTGCACTACAAACTTAAACCCTGATCTTAGATCTTAAAAGGAACAAATATTTTATAATTAACTATTTAAAAGACATCTGAAATACTTAAGAAATTTACTGTCTTTTTCAAAATTACAATATTAAAATTCAAGAACTCCTTTACATATTTAAAAGGAATAAAACAAAAAGTTGAGAGCAGAAGTCTCAAATGTCTGTGATTAAGTCTCCCACTAAGCAACTGTACTTTCATCTTTAAAATCTTATAAGCCTTCAAAAAATTTGAGATATTATTCATTATTATTCTAACTTTTCTTTCTCCGACGCTTGTACTGAAAAATAATTTCACAATACTATCTGAAATTAATTTTCACTCCAAAACACTTTGTTCTGGGTATTTATAACACAAGACAATACTGCTATCTTTCCCAAGTCACTCAAAATTATACTCCTATTATATACAGACAGTGCAAAGCAATGCAAGGTTACCGCCAGCTTGTATTGCCTTTTATGTACAGAAATTTATCCCAACGCACCACTACTCCCAACTTGGCTTAATATATTTAAAAAAAACCTAAAACCATCAAATATTACCATACTTACAATTTTGTTTTTTTCTTGTGTATTGGATCCAGGGGCTCTCTCTCTTTGGGCTGGGACTGGGGTTTTGGGTTGAGACCAGCCAGTGGGGCTCATATTGTTAGGACTTCCAGACAGAGCAGAGGGTGAAGCTTAAATATAAAGAGAAACACACAAAAAAAATTATGAACCAGAAAATAAACACAAAATAATATATAATATTATTTCATTTTTGTAAACCATACCTGATTCACTATGGCTTCGAATTGCATCCTAAAACAGAGGAGACGGATAATAAAGTTAATAAATATATGAGAACACGTAAAGGAACAAGCAGGAATAGCGTTGAAATCATTCCTGACAGTTTTGGTCAAGTGTGATACAGTATTGACCAACACCCTCCAAAATATCACAGCTTGGTTACTTCCTAGTTACAGGAATCCTATGTGCTAAAAAACATGCAATTTGTGAATTCTTACAAAACATTAAAAATATCCACAGCATATGAAAAGGTATTACTACCAAAAAAAGAGAAAAGAAAAGAAAAAAATAAAAGAGACACAGAACAAGAAGAAACACCAGAAATACTGTCTGCATTCCCACCACTGGATTTTTGTACATGCTTGTGTTCCAGATCTGAACATAGCTCCTGTGATAGTCCTGTATCCCTAGGGGACAAGTTCTCAAAAAGGTTTTGGCTTACAAGTAGGAAAACTTTGAAAGCCCCTAAAATATTCCAAGTCAAAAATACACATTTTGAAATATCTCTACCATAGTATTTCAACTCAAAAGGCTACGTCTTGTGCCCTAATACAAAACCATCTAATTTGCAAAACATTTTTCCACAGATTAAAGTTTGCTGATATTTGAAAAGCACGTTCTTACACAGTTCACTAGTTGGTACAGTGCAACAACTCTCACCTCATGCCACAGGCACTTTACAACACAATTCTACAGCCATGCACAAGATAAACTAAGCTCTGACAAACATAACTTCACAACTTTTCTCACCTGCTATGTATTATCCCAAAGTACATACAGGAAAGGTAAAATATCCAGGTACTGTATAAGTACAAAGCAAGAACATGCACTACAGAAATGTTAAATACTGTCAAAGTTAATAGAAGTCAATTCAAACTTTCTAACTAATTAGTAGAATAATAAATGTCAGATTTCATAAGAGGACAGAACAAGCCTACATTCCACCATACAGTTTTCAAATTAACTCAGATTATCCTTAGTAAGGATTCTTTTATGAAATACATCATTTTAGCTAGATAGTTGCATTCTCCCAGGCTTGACTCTATATACAGTATTCTCGCAGAGTACTTCAACTCTGCGCCTGAGTGGATTAAAATCTGCATAAACTACCAATGAAGAACTCTTGCAAGTTACTACGTTCATCCATTTTGAGGACAATAAAAATCTGAATTAGTAACAAGTGATGCGTTTTGTGTATCAGCCTGAGAATGTAACTGCTTTCAAGTAAGCTGGCAAAGGATAATTAAATAATTTTAAATTGTTCTCATACTTATATATACATAATTCTTATTAAAGAGAAGGGTATTTTTGAACTTCAACCCCGATGTGAATGTTTTCTTTTTTTGCTTATTAATCCCACAGCAAATGAACCAAACCCAGCGTTCTTTAGAGTTGTTCTTACAACACAAATACCATACGCAGTGCTGTAGTCTGTCACCTTTACTTTGATGTGAAATAAAAATAGTATGTCATGTTCTTAATCTAAGGGCTTTGTATAGTTATATTCAACAAAATAGTTTCCAGAGGAAAAAAGCCACACCAATAGATGTGTTTGAGAAGGTTTTACTTTAAAAACTGTGTGATCAAATGCATCTCTAATCCGAGCCTATTCAAATTCACACCGAGTTTCATTCATCCAGCTAAACTAAAAATGAAGCTCTTCTATCAATTTGCCTCGTCCCATTAGCATCCTCAATATTTAAGTATAAACATGCCATAGAGATTTTCATCAAATCAAGTCCAGATTAAACATTTCATGTGGACACTGCCATGGCTTACAAGTTACAGCAATCCTGTTAATCACAAGAAAACAAAAGGCACCAAGAAAATACCTACTCTTCCCCTCAAACAAAATCGTCTGCACCAGGAACTGGGAGAAGCATTCAGGCTGTTATTCTAGGCCAAGACGGTAAGAGATAAAAGAAAAGAACAGAGGAAGTGTAAAAAAAAAAAAAAATTAAATCTTAGGATAAATGAAAGAAAAAGTAACCTAATTTGTTTGATACATGATCATTAAGTGCAGAAAAACTTCTAAGTATTGCTGTTCAAACCCAAAAGTTCACTAGTATCCTCCTTTGGTAAACCACTTTATTAAGGTGGTGTTTCATGTCATACTAGGTGGTCTCCACTACCTTATTTTGCGGTGTGGGTTTTTCTAAACTTTTTTTTTTTAAGCCTTTTGGAGAAGCAGCTATTACCTTTAGGACATGACAGCTATTTGTATTCAGTCCCTATGATATTATGAAGAGCCAGAATAGAAAGCATTTCTGTCTTTGCCGCTATACATAAAGGATAGAGAAAGTAACGTCTCCTTAAAGGCTCATCATGCTACAAAGTTTAATAATTCCTATTCTCTTTCTTGAGTGCTTCAGTACTTTTCGTGCCATAAAAGATGGTCAGCCAGGCTTCTGAAGCAGTAAAAAAGGCTGTAAGACTAAGAAAACCAAGAGAAAGGGAGGGCACCTTTTCCCATAAAACCCAGCTGACGCAAAGCTTCTAACCCAAAAAGCCTCACGGGGCTGCAGTGCACTGTTCTTCAATTTCACCAAAGGTCCAGATAACGTCTCTGGCCCATTTCAGAGAATCTTCACATTTCATAGAAGCTACCAGCTGAAGATGCAAGTGAACTCAGCGCTCAAAAGGCTTCTGTTTGGCCTAAAGAGTTTTTAAACTGTTCCAGAGCAGAAAAACAACAAACAGCGCTCTCTGAAGTCCTGCAGTTCAGCACTTTCGTTCTGCAAGCGTTTCCTGCACACCACTCCCTTATTTTGTTAAGGTTAACACAAAACAAAACCCAAAAAAACCCACTTCAGGCCTGACTTCAAATGGTTGTCTTTCACTACTGCCAGTCGAAGGTAGAGGGGAAAAAAAAAAAAAAAGAAAAAAGGTGCATAAAAGCAAGTAACAGTGGAAATATTCTCAGATACAGGTGGCTTTAGCACATGAGCCCAGAATTGCTGTCAATTCTGTAGAGGTGTAACACACAACATACTGCCAGTAAGCTTTCACTTGAGTATTCCAACTCCGAGAACTACCTCCCGACTTACAGTACCCGCAGTCCCATTTAAAATAACCACCAGCCCCCTCAACAAACCCAGATTTTTAAGTTTAAAAGAACATTTTCAGACATGCCTAATAAGTACTTCTTCTGCAAAACTAGGCTTATTTTCCTTTCAGATCTGAGAAACTTGATTGTTAAGCTCCCCCACTTCTTTACAGACACCAAAAAATCTATGTAGAACTTCAGCAAAGTTGATAAACGCTGCAAGAATGAACTATTAACTTTCTACGCAAACGCATCACCTATATTCTTCATCACTCAGCCAGCTAAGGCACGTAAGTAAATGACAGAAAGCAAAGAAGAAAAAACAACCAGTGACTATTAGATAGCCAGTCACAATTTTAGTTTCACTTTATGCTATTTCCTCCCTACCAATATTACCTCAATTATCCGGCTGTCTACAGGCATTGTAGTGCTGACCATGTGGACATTTGGTGTGGATGTAGATCGCTGTCTTTGGGAAAGGGAGCCCTCAGAGGAAGGATTTGATGTGTTGAATGTGAAGGCATGAGGTGTAGAATACCTGTGCTGGGAACTGAGAAGGAAAAAGAGAGAAAGGGAAAGTTGTGGTTATTTTCTCCCCCTCTAGGAATTGAAAAATACTGTTAAATGTAACCTGTTCAACAGCAATATAGACAGAATCTTGAACAGAAAAAGTTGGCGCTTACACACTAACCAAACTATTTGGTCAGCTGTTCCCAGTTTAACTTCAGAAATAAATTAAAAAACTTGAAGTAAGATCTTGTCAGTTCACATATTCATCTACTCTGTTTAACGTAAGTCCGTTCCTGCTGTTATAATATTTGCCACAGTTCACCTCAATCCCCATCAAATCACATTTAATATATGCATAAATTATTGGCTCTGCTGGATTAATTAAGGTCTGTGAAATTAAAAACAACAAAACAGCACTGCTTCAAGCCTGTTAGATGTATAGCTTAAGAACTACTTTTACTGCCAAGTCCTGAATTTGTAAAGGTTTGCAAGACTGTTCAATGGTTCGCACAGAACAGCCAGCAAGGAAGTCATGAAACCCAATACCAGTTAAAAGGACGCCAACACTAAAACCCAGTTCAACAAGTAGTTATAAATCACAGCTAAGGTCACTCAAACCCTGTTTATCCCAAATCACACAAGTATCTTAACTGAAATCGGCCAGCCTTCGCAAAAAGCTTAAAAAACTGTAAGTTAATGAGTCATTGCTCAACAACACTGGAAACAGAGTAAGATGGCAAAGTGAACATAAGATCAATTCCTGACGCAGTTCCCACTAAAATAAACAAATAAATGCATAGAACCATTTGCAAGTCAGCTATGTGCTCTGTGCCTCATTCCTGAATAGGCCAAGACTTTTCAAAGGGATGTAGCAAAACCAAAAGATGGCCTGCTCTCTTCAGCCTCTAGAATTTCAGGGAAAAGAATACAGGCACAAATTAGGATCAGAAGACGGGCCCCTTTGAAAGGAAAGCAATTTTTATTCTAGCATTCAAAACTACAGGAACGTTCTCTTTAGGTCTCAGAATTTTCTTTTAGAGGAGTGTATTTTCAGTTTCCGCTGTTCTCTCTTTAAACTCTTATCTGTCATCGTAACATTAGAACATTATTTTTGTTTATGTATGCGGGTCACGCAAAACGAGTCACAAACCCTTACATGTATACTACCTGATCAGATAAAATAAATTAATTCACAAAAATACCAAAGGGAGCCTTGAATTTTCTTAGGCAGGAAAACAAAGGTCTCCAGAAAACCTTTAATACCCTCCCTTGAAGTCTTAAGACTAAAAATTAAAAATATAAAATCTCAAATCAATGTTCTGCTTGAATTTAAGAACAATAAAGGATGCGACATACTATCTATGATGAAGTGGTGTTGCCTTCTTGCACATTTATCCCAACCTTCTGCAAGATTGTTCTATTTTTGAGGAGTTGGGGGTGTTTTGTTTGGTTGGGGTTTTTTTTTGTTTTTAAACAACTGTATTTCCCAAAACAGAACCGACAGGAAATACTAGCTTACCTAACAGGTATCCGGGAGACAGACTCCCGCATCCGTCTCATTGTCAAGGGAGGTAGTGCAGGGACACCACTGTCACTGATATTTGAATTTGGGAACAATCTGAAATATCAACAAAAACAATTACAATTTCAACTGCTACACTACCTCCTGTACAATGCTCTTGAAAGCTGAAAATTTAAAGGGCTATTTCTTTCCAGCATAATTAACTTCACGAACACATTCCTAGCTTTACAGAAGCTTTTTCCTCCGAGTATGGTATGACTAAAAACTATGTCTTCAGACTCCCAAAGAAAATTTCCTTGAGTTCTTTCTAAACTTAAAAACCAAATCTTTTTAGATCAGAGTTCAGATTTTCCTGAAAGGGTATTCAACACCAAATTTTTAAGTTCTATTAAACCCAAGTAGCACCAAGAGGCTATGTCGTACACTCTTAATGACTAGACAATAGAAGAAAATACACAACTGCATGACCAAGTTTCGTTATAAAAAAATACAATCACTAAGACACACACAAAATCAATTGTAGGTTTTAACACTTTTGCATAAAAGGACTACTTCTAACAATGATTTTCAACTTTTTCTAATCAATATTAGGAAAGTATTATCCTTCATCAGTTTTCTCACCACTCCATGCATTTTCAACTGGGTGTGAAAATGTGTGGTAGTTCTGAACGCTCATGCTTCCAACAGCTAAAACACAACTGAATCCTGACCTTTTTTCTTCTAACAAAAGTGTTATGTGACAAGAAATACTATTACTCCGTTGAAACGGAGGGCTTTTGAGCAACTGCCTGGTCATTCAAGATTTTTGTGTGCTTGTCCCAGAATATTAGTATTTACAGCAAGAACAAAATGCATTTAATGCAAACGGCCTTCTTCACCTGGGAACAGACAACCACGGCTGGCTGGTTTAGGAAATCAATACACAAGATCTGTATATTGATGAAAGTGGCTACACTTCCCAGCAATCCAAATTTATCTCCGTGATAAGAGATTAAAAAAAAACCAATGCTTGTCTGTCACAGAGAATTACTGTTGCTATTAAAAAGGAAGAGTCCTTACAAGAGTTGCCTGATATTGCTCCAGTCGACACACATGGTTGGAACTTTAGTGCTGCAGTGTTCGTGGAATTTATAACCGCATGTCTGACACCGAAATCCATTTAGCAGGAACTTCTGGCAGATGTCACAGAAAGCAAGCTTCAGAAACGTCTTCCGAGCCTAGAAAACACGTTAAATGATTAATCCAAGCTACTAACTTCTCTTCATTAGCTGAGATGAACATCTTCAGAGCTTGATACAAATAAATACCACGTTAAAATGTTATCAGTGCCCCCAAACTGCTACTGAATTTAAAGCCACACTTGAGTGTTCCTGCATGTATTTCCAGTTTGGCTGGAAACCTGGAAAGCTTACAAACATTTGTTTACCTGATTATTGGGCCGGGGGGAGAGAGAGAGAAAGAAAAAAGAAGAAAAGCATTCTGTCAAATTCAAAAGCACTATTTTGTGCTCAGGAAGGTGACAGAGTTGGGTGGGCCAAGAATTGGGGGTTTTTAGTATCACCAAAACTGAAGGAAGATCAGATTGGAAAGAACCACCTCATTATTTATTTTATTAGTCGAAATGCTTGTTGTGTGGTTACAACTAACCAAGACCCCTTGCACAAGAAATAAATTCTTTAGTAAATAAAATAGTTTAAGGAAATTCTACTTTTTTAAATGGCATCTAACATTTTTTTTAAAGCTTCTGAAATACAAAAAAAGATTAAAATGAACCAAAGGGTTTCTTCCTGCGGAGCATACTGTGGAGGAAGGTTCCACAGTAGGTTCAAAGTTTGAGCTTCTCCCAGATGTGGAGAAAAATATTAGTTTTCTGGTGACCGACTGCAGAAAATTTATTTATGGGTTTCTAAAAATGTAAAGTAGAACCAAAGCTACTTTTAGTTTTTGTATATCAATCCTAACCTTTCTCATGGATGTAAATGACAATCCTTTAGTTCTGCCACTTGGCACAATGTGCTTCTGGGACAAAACAACAAGAAGACTAGAATATAGGAATAGAGTTCCTTCACAGGGATAATGAAATAATGCAAGGTAAAAATATTAGAGCTAGGCATTATCTCTTTGTAAAAAAAAAAAAAAACACCAAACCAAACAAACAAAACCCAAAAAAACCCAAAAGCAAACAACCAAACACAAAAAAATATTCATTTGCTCTATACAGAGCAAATAACCCATTTTTGAGAAGGAACTACAAATCTAAAGTCTTTCATTCCCCCAGAAAACACCCTCTCATATTACAAGGCAGAATTAGCTTGACCTCGCAGAACTGACAGCACCCCTGTACGTTCAGTACAATTACCAACAGTCCAACAAAGCTGCCAAACTCATCCAGCCGTTCTTAACTGATGAGGCACAGACTGAAAATGCAAGTTACCTCCCAGTTCTGGGCTTTAAAGACATGATATCTTAATGTGACAGTTACAGAAATATATATTTATATAAAATTGAAATTGCAATCATAAGGATTTTGAAGAATAGGCATAATGTGAGCTTTTAAAGTCTCTGACACCTAGGAATCAGCGAACAAAAAGCAAATTCTGGCATTTCATTGGCTAAATACCAATTTGCAATCTAATTTGTGGGGAGCAGGGGTGAAAAAAATCACATCATCACTTCTGAAATACCCTCTCTGTTTAGAAAGCCAAAAGGTACCTAATGCCTAAAACATTCTTCGATTTATTATGTGGTTCAACTAATAAATTTACATCAAAATACAGACGAGGAAAAGCTTACAAAATTGTGTGTAGTTAGTGGAACATGATCAAGAAAGTCCACTTGCAGTTCCTCTCCAATCAAGGAGGCAGCATCTGTATTCCAATCCAAACGCACTTTTTTTCTGAGAAAAAGAGAAAACGGGGACAACAAAATTACTTATGAGGTAAGAAGTCTGGCCTCATCAGTGATCTATGTTTTGTGAGTTTTCTTGAGTAAACTGAAAACAAATACAAAAAAGCATGGCTAACCTCTTATAGTGAGCTATATTTCAGTGTCTTTCACTTAAAAAATTAGAAGCAACTTTGAAACCATAACAATTCACCTATTTTTCTGTTTATTTTTTAACATGTAAGTCATTTAGATATATAGATTATTTGAAATAAGACACCTAGAAGCTGTAATGGAGTCACAGAAATACCCTTATAAACAAAACGTAAGAAATTATGAATGACAGACTTAGTGACATGAAAGCCGTATTACGTGCTTCAGCACTAAAGTTGCCGGTGACCCCAGAATGGACTCAGTTACATAGAGATGTAAACCCACAAATGACTGCCTCATGACTGAGGCTTAAAAGAGCATTAAGCCCAAGCCTTACGAGGTGTGAAGTTAAATGTATTAACTCCATGAGATACCTTCACTCCCTCAGCTTGTAAAAGAATCATTTGGTATTTAATAGCAGCATCCCCAGTCCTACAAAAAATAAGGAATATCTGAAGTGAGATTGAAATCCAAACACTGAGAAGTTGTAGAGGAATGTAGAGCCTTAAAACTGAGCACACAGAGATGTTCATTTAAGTTGCCTAAGAATCACTAGCACTGAAGTTTACCAACTACAAACGCAGAGGAGAAATGCACCTCAAATATGAAGGCATATCACATCATTTCAGCTACAGTATGACAAAAGCCTCTGTAAGATGATACTTGAGCGTACCCCTCGATTTTGAGCATTTTTAATACCCAGCTTTAAAACAAAACTAAAATTTTTAATACCCAGGAAGCTGAAGGAATTGACTTAGAGGGGTGTAAAGAAAGCAACATGGAAGTCTTCACAACCAAATTGCACTTTTAACAGAAACTAGCAAGAGAGAGGAAGAAAGGCTTATTGCTGCTATTCTAAAAACACAAGTTTTACACTCTCTAGTTGAAAGTTTCACATACAACATTCCAGACTCTTACCCTTTTGGTTCAGTAAGAAGTCGAAAAACTGCACAGCATTCTGGCTGCAGACCTCTTACTTTAAGTGCCTTCATAAGACAGTCATGCAAGGTCATCCCATTTCGCACATTTACCTGTGACCAAAGGAAAAACAATTTTAGTCTGTGATTGCAGAATGTTGGGGGTTTTTGGGGTTTGGGTTGTTTGTTGGTTTTTTTTTGGGGGGGGGGAGTATTTTTTTTTTCTCTCCTTTTCTTTAGAAGTTCCAGTAAAAGTGCACAGCTGTTCGCTTTCGAACTTAATAAATAGGTAAATAAAAATTATTTGTATGATGTAACAGACTGCAGCGCCTCCCGATTTAACTCACCGCATATTCAGCCAACCTGTCAGGCAGGCACATTTTCTGCCATATATGTAACTATTGTGTACTTGGGCAAAGGAAGTTTTGAAGCCATTTTATAACTTTTCAATTTCTTACAGCCACTAAGTTTCTGTGAAAGAGGATTTTATACAGGTAGCTTGTAAAAGTCATAGAAATGCAGGCAAATGCAGTTACCTTAAGTGTAGAAAAAAGGCTTAATTTTTATTTCAGGGAACTTTGTTTAAGACTATTATTAGTAAACTCAGCTCCAAGAATCTAATAGAAGTGTACCCTCAAGAAGTTTCACTTCAGCTTTAACTACCATACTTCACTGTGGGCATCCACATGAAGAAAATGGTGACAGAAAACAACTACGTGTTTTACTTCATACAGGCATTAGGTCAGCAAACTACCGTCTTTTAATGTTAAATATGTAAGCAAAGTATCTTGCTCGTGTATACTGGAAAACTACAGCACTGAGGTAGAGAAATACAGGTTCTCAAAATACAGATACACTGCTTTCAAAATACATCCTCTAGAATTAACGAAGTGATGAAGCTTGGCATTTCTCTTGCCAGATACGCATCATCGCGTTAGCAACGGGAACAGTACGACGTTTCTTACATAAAGGTAATCTAGACTTACCACTGTGCGCTGCTTGTTGGGCAAGAAAACACGAATAGTATTACTAGTTTTGGAAGTATCTGATATTTTGCCGTCATCAGATGCTCGGCGTTGATAACCAAACTGCTGGACGATAGTAGGTGAAATACAGTTTGGGCCATCAAAGACAGAATCCTTGAATCCAAAACCGTTACTGATAGTCTTCCAAGCTCCCTGAATGTGCTCCATTGATGCGGTCTAAGAAACAAAAATTGAGAGAATCAGGGAAAACTACAATATACTTCACTGTAAAGCAGTACTCTCTTCTCCTTATACAACAGACCTCACAGCCTCTTTGGAAGCATCTGAAAACTGCACTGCCTCCTCTCGTGACATGATCAACCTACACATACATGGTACGGTTCACCCACATCTGCAAAATTAGCCTGAGTCTTGAAAGCATTTGACTTTCTGCACATAGAAAGATCATCGGTAATATATATGTAACTCCTCTCACTGTGTCTCCGGTGTCACAGGAGCAGTACAGCACCATGTTAATTTAGACAATCAGTGCCCTGAGGGGCCTTCAGAAAGGCGGCTACACGCTAGCTGCAAGCCAAAAGAATAGCCCTGCAAGCATTAGCACAGACTGTACTATTAAGAAAAAGAGGCCCAACAGGAATTATAATAAAAACCTTTAATTGAAAAAATTCTATTTTTATCAGTGATTTTGGACTTTGTTTTTTGTGGGGGGTGGTTTGGTTGTTCGTTTGTTTATGGGTTTGTTTTTGGTTTTTTGACATGTAGCAAGTTTAATGCTCTTTGTATACAACAAAATACATAACGTTTTAATAGTATCACAAATTACATAGTATGAAACAGGAAAAAAAATAAATTCTAAAAACCCCCACACACTATGCTCAGTTACATTTCAGCATAAACCTCTCGCAATGCAGGGACACAAACAACCCCCTGCACACTTCCAAATCAGCACACAGTACTATTTTTGCACATTCAGGGACAAAGATGTGTCAAGTGGATTTTTTTTTTCCCCAGCTATCACAACTGCAGTGTAGCTTGAAATCCAAGTTATATTCCAAATGCATCTTATTCAAAACTACGCAAAAACAAAGTCTGAAACAGTTTCGAACAGTGAAATGTACTCCTTGCTAAATTTCCAAGTAGCCAGATTCATTACCAAGCTTTCAAAAAAAAAAAGTGAAAATAAGCACAGTACTTTATCCCCCCCTCTAAAACTGCATCCTTCTATAAATGTGTGAGAAATTGATGTTCAGAACTCCAGAGTGCAATTCTTTAGCCATGCTAGTAGACTATTTCCAAACTAATCTTCAGTGGTTGTGCACACCACCTATATTCCTGATCACCTCTACAAAAGGGAAACAAAGTCATGCTAAAGCTGCAAAGTCAAAAAGCAAGTCAGTCGGGAAATGCCAAAATAAAGGTCTTCCAAACAATCCTAATTCTGTCCCCTTGTGGCACAGGAAAGACTTACATTGGAAGACCTACATTGTTCCCTTGAAACCACTAAAAATTTAATTCAGTATATAATACCAAATGCTCCTTTAGTGAACAGCAATCAGTCTCTATTAAAGTCTCATTTTGTGCGTGGTCCTGTGCCGCCTTCAGTGCAGATTATTCGAACCCTCCAATTCATTTCTTCATGCTCTTCTGGGTAGCACCCATTAAAAAAAGAATAGAGAGCACACACTCCCCCTACCCCAAACACTCACATGCTTATGTCACAGAAAAGATGACGGTGTTCGTTACAGTTGAAGAGCTAAAGTAATGGAACTCATGGGAAAAATATCTCCACTAGTGTTCAGTGTCCATTTTGGGATGCCCAGAAGGATAAACTTTGAATTTCAGAGTGTTTTACTCATAGCACAACTCCGAAAAGCCCTAGCTATATTCAGGAGTACTCAACATTGCTACGGCCCTAAACCCAGATCCAACTACTATCTAGACAGGACACGCGTAACAACAAACTTAAGGGAAAGGTTTGGTTTATATGAAGCACCTACCGTCGCATGCAAACTCTACAGCAGAAGAGCTCTAGGCCTCTAACTCTCTCTGCTACAAGGGGATCTTTTCAGTCCGTTCGTGAACATTTCTTTCTCTGACAGCATATACAATGACAATGTACACATCCTCTCCTTCCCTCCTGCCATTCGCTGTCATACCTGCATCAATGCCACCGGTTGTGCAGGCCCAGTAGTTCAAAGGTTCAAAATATTTAAATGCAAACGAGGTTTAAAACTCAATACCCAACTGAAACCTAGTGAGACTTAGATACTTGGAATCATTTTATTTTTTAAATCTATGGCACATAAATGACAACAGTCTTACATTTTATATAAAAAGGGAACAAGGAATGGAAAGACACAGAGACATTCTGAAAGGAGGAGGCAGGAGGGAAGACAAAATTGAGGAATACAACTGAGTTGAGCATGCACAAGCAACTACAACAACCTCGCAATTCACATGCATTGCCCTACCATCAGGAATCAGAAAGGTGAAAAAGAAGTTATGTACAGCTGCCATAACTGTATTATGCATATGGACAGCTAAAAGAGTAACTAGTTAGATGGTAACAATAAAAACAGAGTGGGACATATTGTTAGATAAGACAGGTAAGATGAAAACCAGAGAGCTTGTTCTCTTTCCTCCTCTTAACTTACCCGCCGCGGGGAACCCTACTTTATTGAACCCTTCTAGGTAATACATGAGACAAAACAAGAATAGGAGCTCAACTGCATTTCTCTACTGAGTAAGTTGAGGTAAGGAATAGCAGGGCCACCATCACAGCCTCATCATTCCCACTGCTGATGTGAGTTGACAACACCCTAACGCTACAGCCTTTATATTTAACATTTTGACATACTGCCAACGTTTCCTGAAAAATTCAAGAGGAAACAGGACATGACCAAAAATTCAAACTTGCACCTTGACAAAAGTGAAGTTTCATACGAAAAAAGGTAGTTCCCTGCTTTAATGGTGCTCTCTTGACCAAATAGGAAAGGTCTACTGCCTACTGGAGAAGAGCCTACTAGAGAAGAACATAGAAAACACATTTTGAGGTGGTTGTACACGCAGTCAGAAGAACATAAAGACAGCAGCTGCTATCAGCCTTCTGTACAATACAAATGTCACTTGTATCTTTGATTATGCATTTGGATCCTTCTCTTTCCTAAGACCTTTGCCTCAAGCAAGTGCTGAATATTCTCAGGACTGTGCAAGTTTGGCATAATCATCTCTTCCAGAGATGGCCTACCACCATGCACTATCAGTGCACTTCCGCCATCTTTTTGTTGGCAGCTGATGATTGTTTCCCTGGCTGCTTGGGTTTGCTCACAGATTACTAGAGCTCTTTTTCTAGAAACTGAAAGTACGTGCTTCCTCACCTCAGCAGGCAAATATAATACATGCCATCCTTGGCTCTTCTTTCTGCCTAAAGCAAAGGCTATGGGTTCTACTCACACAATTCAAGAAGGAGCCAGCATTGAAGGGAGAGGATGAGGGCTCAGCTCAGATCCGGCCTGGAGTGGACAAAAATCTGCAAATGGCCTGAGGGTAGAGGGGTAGGGGAGAAGAAAGGGAAGTTTAAGAGAGATTTGCAGCCTTCTGGGGAGAGACAGGGAATCCATGATGAAAGTTGCTAAACCTGCTCTTGGCATCCATGGTACAAGAGCATGTAGTTGGTAAGGTAGAGCCTGCTGAAGAAACAGCAGTAGTCAATTGTCCTGCTGCTGACTTTTTGCAGCCCTCACGTGGGTTGACAGGAAACTCCAGGTCCTCAGCGATAGCTCCTCACTCAGGCCAGGAAGAGTGTAGTCAAGAATACTTCAATTCTGCTATCGCATGGGCCGCCACTGGACATGTTCACTTCTCAAACCTACCCACTGCTCTTATTCCAAATTCTTATCATGGAAGAACAGAGACAGTCATAAAAGCTGCTTCTTAAGAAGCAGTTTATGAATTCATTACACTTTTCCCCTGCCCTCTAGTGTAAAGAAAGCTAGCTTAAAAAATTGTATGAATATATACAAAAACATCCACTTGGAACTCAAACAGCTCACTGCATACGTAGGTACGAGGCAAGAGAATTAGCGTGGCAACTACTTGACCAGCTCTGAACCGATAAAAAAAATAAATATATAATCACACAGCATCATATTGCACATACACACGATTTCTAGTTGGTACAGTGAACACAGAACCAAGCACAACAGCCAAAGACAACCGACATACTATTTCACAGGACGCAGGTTAGTGCGTCCACCTTCTGGCCAGCTTAACAGATCGGCTATGCTGTGTGCATGTCTTAAGTTCAGCGTCCTGTAACCTGTGCCCTAGCATTGATTTGTTTATTCATTTTGGGTCTTTTTCTCCAACCAGTAATTGATGAAAGCCATTTTTACTGAAACTAAATTCATTTTCCCCCAACTCTCCCAAGATCCACATCAATTCACCCCAGTGAAAAGATAACTGATATGTTCTAAAGAGAAATTTAATTTAAAATAAAGGAGGAGAGATTTCACAATGCTTTCATAAACACATAATTCTTAGTTTGTCTATTCCAGAAAAACTAGCTTTTCTCCCTTTAAATAAGTTACAAGCATGTTTCTGAAACAATCATTACCAGATATTAGATTTACATTTATGCCATGTTCAAATAATCCATTGCCAGCTGAATGTTTGCATGCATCTTTCTAAAATTTTTTAAATTTTTCTTCCTGCAACTCTTCACTTTCATGAAAATTACTTCAAACAGCCTGTCTACAACTGAAAAACTGCAACAGCAGCATTCAATTAATATTTTAAGATACTACAGTATATCAGTCCCTTTGTAGATCCAGTACTGCTGGGAAACTGATACTGATTCATTTCATATTAAACACTCAACATGAGCAGAATAAAAAATATACTATTCCTCCACCTCCCACAGGTGCACATACTGCACACTGTGATCAAGATTGCACTTTTCATTAGCACTCTTTGCATAGATTACAGATTTTGATAACGAGTCATTTGAACAAGCATTAAAATCAAATGCACAAACCAGCTATGCAATGCGCACATCTGACAGTAACACATTCCTAGAGATCATTCACTCATATTCACTCGGATCACACACTCATATCGTTCATTCATATCCGAAAGATACTTTAAGTCACTTTAACTTTTTCCATGACTAGTAAAAAGTAGTTAGTCTGAACTGTTAAAAATTTCAGTCTGTCTCCCTAAGAAATGCTGGAACTGGTAATGAAGAAGCCTGAAAATTCACAGAATACAAAGGTAAACTCCTCTCAGTATAGTGCTTAGGTGCCTTGCCCTTTCCTTCATTTCTGAAACAAACACCAAAAGCTTTTAAAGAAAATGTAAATACAGTTCCCCCTCCCAACCCACACACTGCCGTTTTTATCCACACAAACAATTAAAAGTCACACTCATGTTTAATGAAATACATATGCAAAGGCAAAACACCACAGAACAAAACCCGGAATCCATTTCAAAACGAATCTTTTGTTAGAAAATATAAGCTTTAAGAGTTGCTTATAAGAAAAATGTTCATCTCTGACACAAAAAGATCAATAATACATTTAACTGTGGTCTTTTCCCAGTTCCCCTCCCACACAGTAATTCTCAATTGATTTATTGCACGGGTTACCGGTTGGCTGGAGGAAAAAAAGAAACCCACACCAAACAAGTATCTACTGTGATACATAGCAGTATTTTTTAAAGTAACTTTTCATAGCAATAGAAGATAAATATGGACCCATTCCTATATTAATAAAGCTGTGATCCATGTAAACCTGAATGCAGGGCATGAGTCAGGATCAGTCTAACAACCCAAGCAGATCTTTCAGACATCTACAAGGCTAGCATTTTTCCTTCGAATGTCCTTCATTTTAACAAATCAACACCAAAAAGCAAGCTCTCCCCTAACAGAACTGAAAAAAATTAAATAATTAAAATTAACAGGAGGAAAAAAACAAAAACACACACAGAAAAAAACAACTCCAACCCCCCCAAAACCCCAACCAACACCGAAAGATTACACATACAATTTGTGCCTCATTTGTTCTGATCTTGGAAGTATCTCTTCTCATCTTTTTCTCTACTTCTCTGAACCATTCCTTTCTTAGTCACTACTTCAGCCATTAAGCTGCTAATGTAACTTTGAAATATTTAAGGAAAAAAAACAACATTGGTTTTCCAGTAATTGGGCTCTACAATAAAGAGGGCACAAGCAGTACAACTCTCAGTCTGACACACCTTCAGACTGATTAATCCTTTGCAAGATTAACACCTTTAAGAGCAACTTTCAGAGTAAAGCTTTGGTTAGTAAGCATAAACCAAGTTGTACTTCTTGGCTGCAGCAGGTTGTACTTTCGGCTCTGGTTAGCAGGGATTGGTCACCATTACTGTCTGCACCTTTGCCCCCCCGCCCCGTGCCTGCTCGTCTCTGTTGATTACAACGGTTCCAGGCTACTTTTCCTAACCAATTTTTAGGAAGATCTGTTTGGTTTGTCCTTTCCACACAGATCATTCCCATGTCAGTCACCCACTTCTCTCCACAGGAAATTTCTATCAAGTTCAAATGCAGAGCTCTATAAGTTTCTCTACAAAACCTGAATTCCTTCATTAGAGAAACAGGAGCACTGAACACTCTGCTTGTATCTGAAAGAGCACAAAGGCATACAGAATCCAAATACTTCCCTTTCCCAAAGCAAAAAAGCAATCCCAGGTAAAAAGAAAAATACAGTAGATGTTTCCAGCCGCTCAATCAGAACTTTTTTAAATTTTAGTTAAGTACTGCTGCTGAGTTTATATAGATTCACAAAAAAAGTTTATAAAATTGCTATTAAAACAGCAATGAAAGGAAAAGGCAAGCAAGAAAAGGACACAAATTTTGCACATACATTTTGTACAGGTTTGCTAACAAAGCACCAGAACTCTATGTCAGGGAGCAAAACCTTCACTTTTTTTGGGTATAAGAATTTATAATTTTTATCTTACAACCAGAATTAATAAATAGTAAGAGGTGGTCACTCAATGTTTTAAATGTGTTCTCTTAACATTATGAAGACTATTAAAGCTGAAGTGATGTTTAAGACATCCTCATTTTTTAATTTGGTAAATTCAAGTGCATTACTAGAAATAAAAAGCATACTCAACACTGCTTTATCTGACTGTATCAGAATCACACTATATGACAGTCTTACGCTTAGACTTCTTGTTTCTTCACAATAACATTAAATTCTTCATAGCAGAATCCTCCAGAGAAAGATTTAGAAAGATACATCTTTAAAGCAGACCTTGCGTTGCTGAGGCAGGGCTGTGAGGTCACATGTGTATTGACATACACAGACAAGACACTTTGGACAAGCATTTCCCTCCCCCCTCCCCAAGTCTTTCAATCAACTGTACATACATTCTCAGACACGTGCCTATTTGCATTCTGAACTTGCTCACACTTGAATTGTTTCAAGGAGGGATGAAAGCCCCAAACTGTGTTTACAGTCGCCTGGAACTCATCCACTTTACAACAAGGATGAAAAAGTTACTCAAATGTCAGCAGTCCACCGAATGCCCTTCCCACACAAGTTCTCAAGCACTAAACAAAAGTGACCAAGAATCTCAGCACAAAGAATTACTGGCTCTGTCCTCCCTCTGCTGCATGTAGTAACTGAAGTAACACCGAGGACATCACCACTGAGAACATACCAGTCTTTAAACCAACCTCAGTTTTGCTGAAAAGGAACACAGCCCCAGATGAGGTTATTCAAGTAACTGCTGGGAGCTGCTAGTCATGCAGGCTAATTGTACAGTGCAGACATACCGCAGTTGCTATTAAAATACCGTTGCAAAATACCAGACAATGCTAGATTATCTGTACAGTTAGACAGAACAGGATGCAGTGATCCAGCTAATTCACGAGTTAGGTGTTCTCTGCATTCACTCAGGGCAGCTTTAAACTAATAAATTCAGTATATTAAATGTGGGCTCTGTGCCAGAACCAGCAGTGGCACCGGTAGGTCAATACCGCAGTTCTCAGAGCCTGAGCGTGGAAACAACATACAGACCAGGGGAGGGCAGGGAATAGGGGCAACAGCACCAAGAAAGGTTTGGAAGGGGCCTTGAGATATTTTTCTGAGAGAAGATAAACCCAATTATTCTCCCTTTTATTTTATAATGAAGTGCACCTGGGAATAGCTGAACATATGTTTCTGCAATATGAACTACATCTAACACGGCGCTACTTCAGTACTCTAGTTACAAACTGCCTGGACAGCTCAACTAACTTTATTTTATTGTTTCCTATGCACTGTTATTTGCAAAGAAACCTGTATAAAATATTTTGTTTCAGACACAATCTCAGAAAAGAAAAAAAAAAAAAAAAGAGACCACCAGTTGTAAGATAATGTCACAGACATGATTTACATTAGGTCTGGATTATTCAAAACAGACCTGTAGTTGTGTGGAAAGGCAAATGCTATTTGGAGGAGACAGGCAAATATCAAGATCTACAGTTCTAAACTGGGGAAGGCTTTCCCCCTGCAAAGTAAATATCCACGGAGACTGACTAAAGTAAGAGCCTAAGTTAAACATACGCTTCTGATAAAGCAAACGCTGAAAAAAAAAGTAGGTATCATATCAATTTTGTGGAACTTTTCAAAAAACAGAAAGCAAGTTTCAGTAGTAGTGAGGGAATATAAGCGCAGAGCTCAGTTGTGGTGAGCTTCCCTTCCCCCAGGAAAGCCCCACAGACCTCAGAAGAAAGAACTGAGTAGGGTAAGGAGGAAGGGAAAGATAACCAGAGAAAGTTATTTATACCTTTAGTTTTCCTTAAAGCGAATGAAGTCCTATGACAAAAGGCTGACGTACATCATCTGTGGAAAAAAAAAAAAGAAGATATTTACTATTTTAATAGATAAACTTATACACATGCACAACATACCAAATTAATAAATCAAAACATTTTGTGAATTACATCAACAGTAGAGTTAACTTATCACCCTTCTACTGTTAAGAGTTTTCAGGGCCTTCTACCCTTTCATTATTTTATGTAACATTCCAGTGTAACAAGATGTACCGTGTAAGGCCAGATTGCCTGACAACCAAACGCTACCCCACCTCAACATCATCTCATTCTTATTCAAGAACATCAAAAAATTCTTTTACCGCTAAAAACTCACTAAACTAAAAATTAAGTACGAGTTGGATACTTTCTGCTCAGACATCAGTTCCTCACTTACACACAGAAACACCTTGCTGACTCACAAATGTTATGACAAATCTTGGATCAAAACCAACTAAAAAAAAGTAGTAAGAAGCTAAGCCTCTGAAGCTATCTGTATCTTCCATACAAGCATTAACTGTAAGAGGAAGAATCTCTAGGGAAGCTGAAGAAATCTTGATTAAAAGATTGGAAGCTCAGATCAGTTAAAGAAAGAAGCGTAAGTCAAATATACAAAAATATTCACTAGATAGTGAATGGCAAAATGCTTTCTTACCCAAAGTTCCCAACTTAATTAGCAATTCCTAAAACAATCCCACGCAGAGATGGTTAGAGAAGGCAAAGACACAACACAGTCACAGAGTCACTGATGCTGGAAGGGACCTCTTGAGATGATTTAGTTCAACCCCCCTGCTCAAGCAGGGTCAGCTACAGCAGGCTGCCCAGGACCAACATCAGTTGGGTTTTGAGCATCTCCACAAACACACACTCCACAGCCTCTCTGTGCAACTGGCTCCAGTGTTTGGCCACCCTCACAGTAAAAAAAAAAAAAAAAAAAAAGTTTTTCATGTTCAGATGGAGATTCATGCGATTTAATTTGTGCTCATTGCCTCTTGTGCTGTCACTGGGCACTACAGAAGAGTCTGGTGTCCTCTTCATTCCCTCCCATCAGTGTGTTTATACACATTGATAGGATCCCCCGCGCAGCTTTCTCTTCTCCAGGCTGAACAGTCCAGCTTCCTCACATCTTTCTTTATATGAAATACAAGAAAGTACTTCCAAAAAAATTCAAGAAGAGCTCATCTATTGCTAGCTCACTTTTGGTTAGACATATCCTCTCTCCCGGATAGAGCGGCTAGGGAAAAACGAAAAAAAAGAAGGAAAAAAAAAAGCTGCAATGATTTTACCTAAGACAGCAAACTCCCAAAGACTAACAAGAAACCAGAAGAATGCTTTGTGATCTCCACCTTGAGCCACTTAGTAATTTTAAAACTGACACCTACTTAAGAGTCTGCACTGTACATCTACCCTGCTTACTAACTTGCATACCTCTCCACAGCAAACATTTAGGAATGTGACACACAAAATATCGTGAATACGGTTTCCATCATGGCAAAATATAAGCAGGGAGACTGGGGAGAAGGGAGGAAGGAATTCCGCCTTTTGCACACCAGAGGAAAAGCTGAGAACTTGAGCTCTAACAGAAGAGAACCTGTCAGCAATAATGACTTTAGGAAATAATCTATACCGAATCAGGGAGGAGGAGGTATTGTTTGTTTGTTTATTTTTAACAGATTACTTTACTGAGGAATAAGGCGTGGAAAGTGATGTGACCAGAAACTATGTGGGGGCCAGAAGCAGAGAAAAACAGGGAAGATGAAAAACACCGTAAGAACAAGCAGAGGACCTGAGAAAGACATCCTCACAGCCACCAGTATAGGCGTAGGCAGTGAGGGGGAAGTGTTGGGAGTTTTGCTTTTTAAAAGTATATAGGCTGACAATTAGCAAACTGATAAATACAAGGATACAGTTACGATCCTCACATTTAGGTAGGAGGTCAAGAGATTTGTAAAGACTGGTTTCCTGAGGAAAACAAGAGCGAAAAACTGAGCTGAAAAGAGTTTGCGACAAACTTTGAGAAAGTTGATCCAGTCAGTATGACAGATAACATTAGATGAAGAAGAGGAGAGAAAAACGATGGGGAGGGGTAGAGGTTTTACAGACTGAAAACCCAAAGCATTTTTATTGTAAAATCAGCAAGAAGAAAAAGGAATCTCATATTCAAATCAAAAAGAGAAGGCGCAGCATAAAACAACTGTGATGAGTTAAAGAAGCAGCAGGTACAGTATTTCTACCGCAACCAAAGCAATAGAAGGGAGTAAAAATCACATATTGTTATTGACAGATATGAGATACATGAAAACCAAAAATCAGTAAGAACATTTGCTAACAGAACTGGCAACAAGGACAAGGAGGGTTTAAGAAGCAAAAAAAGCTGACAAAAACAGCAGCTGTTATTGCAGATGTGAGATTCAATTAAACCCGAGTAGAATTGTTCACCTAAGACAATGGCAAAGCCAACGGAGAAGAAAACGACTCTGTGGCGGAGGAAGTTCGCCTACTCGCAGGATTTCCACCTGAGACACTCCGCAGCGCAAGAGAAGGAGCAAGGCAAGCAGGTGGTGTGTAAGGACAACGCTGAACTCGCGCAAGCTGACCACTGATCCTACTTCAGTGTCAAACCACTGCTTTTGAAAAATTAAAAGTTCTGCTACCGATATACACCTAATTGCACAACTAGCCAGAAGAAGAGTTTGAAACAGAAATTTAAAACGACAGGTTTGTGTTTCAGTATTGTCCTTTTGAACTAGATATTGATGGTTTTAGAAAATACACCTGGACAATACCGTATTTAGGATTCGGTAATCACAAACTTTAGACATTTCAGAGCTGTGATTCAGACAGTCATACATCCGCATATGTGATGTCCCATATGGGAGACTTCTACAACTGAACCCGTGTTACAGTGTTACGACATTCTTGCTGTTTCCTCCAGTTTTCACTACAGTCAGTTTGGTAGAAGCAGCACACTGTCATTGGCAATGTTTTTTAAAAAACCTATTCCCAGAAATAATATTAAATTCATTTTCTATTGTGTGAAGGAACCATCAACATAAAATTTAATCAAAATCAGCTAGGCTTTTTAGAAGTTATGCCAAAACCCTCCTACTCCAGTTACTGCTGGGCTACACCATTAATTCCCTGTCTTTAAAGATCACATTGCCTATTTAAAGTCTCCATATGAGAAACTGAGAAAGACAAAACAACCAATATACAAAAGAAACCAAAATTTTTTAAAAAAACACCCTCTGCCAGACATAAAATATGCAAACAAAAGTGAAAGAATCTCTTACAGTTACAGTGGCAGCATTATTTGTGGTGACAGAAAAAAAAAAATTTCAAATTTCTAACAATTTTAGCCACGATCTGCCTGACAATTTTATCGAAAATTTTCTTCAGAGCACACAGCACTTTTGTAAAACAAAATAATTCCAGGTGCTGTGCTGTAATTTAACATCACAAGGGCAGATCTTACTGGAATGGGTAAAAATAGCACTAGCGAACATGCCAAAGGAGAGTCTTTCCACTATATGGCCAGTGCTTAGATTGCAACATCAGCTGGCTCTCTTTTTATAACCTCTCGATTGCCAGTGAACAAGTTACACAGCCAACTTAAAAGGTTTGAGAAATCTAAGAGTAAGCTCTGGAACTCACTTTCAGCTGAAATCAATCCCCAGTATCAGCCTGACACAAACACTTTGTTTCAGCATGCTATTATTGCCTGCGTAAGCTTTATACTTGCTTCTAAAGCATTTAACACAGATGAGTGATGTAATTCAGAATACGGTTTATTTTTTGTTAAATGTCAGCATAAAATTAGAGGCTTGCACACTTTATTGTTTCTTTTGGCTGCAACACACTCTGGAAGCTACTTTACTGCATTCTCTCGCGGCTGGGCATGTGCCATGCTCCAGTGAGCCCGTTTTGGCCCATTTCTGGGAACGCACCCCCTCGACTCCAACCACCCTGGAACAACCACCCCCTAGCATCTGAACTCTAGATGGCTTTTTCCCATGTTTCCACATAACGATAACAACCGCCACAATATGAACATTTAAAACTGTGCTCAAACGGAGACAGAAATGTTGTTTTGCTAGAAGAAATTCATGCTCCTTAGCCAGCAGCTTGACTTAAAGAGGGCTGAAATTGCTTAGCTTTCTAATTAGGTACAAGGGAAACCAGTATCCTCCCATCTTCAACACCACAAACAGGTTTCTGCCTGCTCATGTCTACAGATTGGTATTGATGGGACACGGCTTTCAAAAGGTATTGGAGAGGGAGATAGGGAGGGAAAAGAAAGCTGTAAAAAAGCAGGATGTCACTTAGCTTGCACAGTTACTATTGCATTTCTTCCCCTCATTCTAAGAAAAACTGAATGATCGCCAACAGCTTCAACTCTCCTTAAGTTTGAAAGTGCTGCCATAACCAAAAATATATTTCTTTTTTGCACACAGTGGCCCTGGTACCATGTGTCTATATGAACAATATACATAGGTCTCACAAATTCAAAAGCAGAGTGAGTTTAGACACATTTGCTATATTTAATGCATGAGTTTTAGAATACTGGTTTTAAAAAAAAAAACCGCAAAATTTCAACAAGAGGTGCACAAATAAAGAACTCATAAAAAAAGTATTTTAATGGCCTTATGAAATAGATTAGATCTGCAGGAATTCAAATTCTATCAGAAATTATCAAAACAAGGAAAATATTTACCTGACTCTAATCTTAGAATTAACAATTGCTAGGTAAATTCCGAACTTCTGAAACCATAAAAAAAGGTTTTATAGACTCTGATGTTGGAGTCCCAGCCTATGTCACAAATATTATCACTTTTCAGTGAAACTTACATCACAGTTTCTAAAACAAAGTTAAAAAAACAAACAAAACCAAGTGTCACTATATATCAAAATACACCTTTTCATCTGGAAGCTGGAGAGGCAATTACAGGCTCTTTCATCTCCACATTAAGTGGAATTAAAATCCACCTTGCTTTTTCTTTTACAATAGATTTATAAAAATATTTTACTTCCTACTA